TGTCGAATGACTGCTCTAACCGTTAGTAGTTATATTTAACACAGATTGGATACTGAATATAAAACCCTAGAAATGAATGTTGTGGCATAAAATGTAACACTTCAATGTAGGTATTTACTAGTACGAAGGTCCTTAACTGTCAAATGAATGGCCTGATGATAGGGATATTCGATATACATCGATGTATCGAAAACATCGATGTTTACAATGCGATACATCGAATGGATCCGATGTTTTGAAAAGCTATTGAAATACTCGATGTATCGATGTTTTTAAGTTTTCAGTGTTAAAACATCGAATCGATGATAACCAATTAAAATTTCATAAAACTCAAGTCTGACCACTAAAATTTTAATTATACGGACAACCCAACTTGTATTTTAAAAATGTTGGCAACACTGCGTACGAGTGCAGTGAGTAGTGTCTCTAGTAATAATAAAAAAAAAACGGTTATGTCAATGTCGCGTCACGCGTGTCGGTTGGCGAGTTTGTTTGTGTCAATCAACAAAGAAATAGGCTGAAAGGCAAACGTTTAAATAAACTGTTGTTTTTGCAAAGTCTTCCAAAAGAACACTGGAAATACTTAGAATATAACAAACTTATAAAAATAAATGCGGATGTTTTTTTTTTTTTTACTTTAATATACAGTGTGAGTCACGTTAAAGTGTACATATGAAAATATGTGAAACTAGACCTATTTTTATCGACAAAAAAAAGGTCAAAAAATTTTTGAGATTTTTTTTTTAATTTTTTAAAGAATTTTTTTTTCTTACAATTACTTCTCGTAAAGAAAACGTAATAACTTTTAAAGTAAGAGGTATATCCTGATAAAATAAAAACAGTAATAATGCTAAATAACAGGCGATACTAAAAAAAAACATAAAATACCCAGAAAATGCCAACAAATAATAAAAAAATATACTTTTTGAAAAAAATCTGCTTTTAAATTCGTGTTTTTTTGGTTATTTGATAAATTTCTCCAAAAAATGCCCCTATAACAGGTATTTTTTATTACTTTGTATTATTCTCTATCGTATTACTTTTGTAAAACCAAAAATTGCATGTCTCTATCCCTATCACAACATTTGCTATGATCGTTTAAACAAAGGCCTGCCACCACATTATTCTCCACTACAGGTGGAGACAATTTTAATTTTAACTAAAATGCTTATTTTACTTCGAAATCTTTTGTTTTTATTTGAAATGTAACTCGTCTTTATCAAAATTACAAATCTAGAGCCAGTTTCAGTTTCGTTGTTAACGAAGCGTTGAATGGCCCGCCCGGAGAGGCTTAGTTCAAACGAATGATCGTTTGAATTGCAATGATGCAAACATTGTGATAGGGATAGAGACATGCGATTTTTGGTTTTACAAAGGTAATACGATAAAAAATAATACAAAGTAATAAAAACCACCTGTTATGGGGGCATTATTTGGAGAAATTTATCAAATAACCAAAAAAACACGAATTTTAAAGCAGATTTTTTTCAAAAAGTATATTTTTTTATTATTTGTTGGCATTTTCTAGGTATTTTATGTATTTTTTTAGTATCGCTTATTATTTAGCATTATTACTGTTTTCATTTGATAAGGATATACCTCTTAGTTTAAAGGTTATTACGTTTTCTTTACGACAAGTAATTTGAAGAAAAAAAATTCTATAAAAAATAAAAAAAATCTCAAAAATTTTTGACCTTTTTTGTGTCGATAAAAATAGGTCTAGTTTCACCTATTTTCATATGTGCACTTTAACGTGACTCACACTGTATAATGAAGATTTTTCTCATGTATGGCTTTTACTGTTTTTTAATAATACAATGCTTAAATTAGTGCATTATAAAAAATCTTAAAAAAGTACTCGATTTATACAAAACATCGATGTTTTCTTCCAATACATCGAAAGAAATCGATGTACAGTTTCAAAATATCGAATCGAAAAAAACATCGATGTTTTTTCAAAGTGGACACCCCTACCTGATGAAAGTTGTTAAATCAAATAAAACTAAACAGAAGTGCATTAAAGGATATTTTTCGTTTATTTTGCATACAATCCAAGTAAATTCAAGCTAGCTGTATTCCGAACGCGAACCACTTTCGCAAATGCTCTAAAAGAAACTCGATCTCAGCACTTCGTTTGCACAAAAACCATTGGAAGCCATAAAAGCAATTCTATTACATTAGACTAATTTAAATTCTCTTGACTTTTCACACGCATCCCTGTTTATGTTTGTACACTGCCATTTGGGGGTGTATTAGTGAAGATTAGGGGACGTCCGTGTGTGCGACCCTAAGATGAATTAGGGGATTACACACACTGCATCATGCAACTGCACTCTGATTTTGCACGCTGATACGGCTACAGGATGCTCTACAAAAATATATTTTTGAAAATTTTGAAAACGATTCAAATATGAGTTAGATTCTGTTTAAAAAAAAACAAGCAGCAATTCACAAAAAAACCATTTCAAACACGCGCGATATATTTGTATGCATGGAGTTTAAAACGGAGCGAAATCCGCCAAAATAAATCTCCGTAAGCGAATAAAACAATTACACAGACAATAATCCCGTTGTTTTTGTCAAAGTGTAACCGTTTTATTGTGTCTTGTACACCCTATATCGCTGGGGTAGCACCATTGAGGGGCGACGGGTAATGGCCTAAGAGTAATTTTATTACTTTGCCCCTATTACCATCACAATGTGCATGCCACCGGTCCATACGATACGCAGACATTCGACACGTTGCGCTGACATTTGTCGATAACGCGTTGCGCAAGTGCGCATCACTATTCATTACTTTTTTAACTAATTCAAAACTGAAATGCCAGCAAAGTCAAAGTCAAAGTCAAAATTTCTTTATTTGTTTGGACTAATAAATAGTTCTTACAAATCGTCATTTTACTCTTAAGGAGCCTCTACATGTCTCATAATCTTTTTACCCTACCAGCGCTTCGAGACCAACATTTGGCAAGTGCTGAGAAGAAGCGCCGCAACAAACTCAGTCACCACTGTCTGCCGGTTAATATAAATAAATAGAAATAGTAGTAGTAGGTACATTCGATTCAGGAGCAGTTCACTGAATTTACCATGCATTCTTGTATGGTGTATCTTATAAGAATGGGTATACAAGATTGCGTGGTATATTAAACAAGGTAGTGACGTGCTAATATCTAGACTTACATATTAAGATACTAGTAGAAATGACTCGCATACATAAATTTGAATAGCTTGGATTGACCAGTCCCCGAAAGCAGCGCCTGTTCACAGACATGACGAGTGAACCAGCCATCGCTTCACTAGACCATATTAGAGGGAATGTAACGACCCGCCTCACTACGCCACCACCCCAGAGACATTTTAGTGAGAATGACAATTCCAAGTTATCTCTTTAAAAAAGCCAGTAGTTGCAAACTTTTTCTTTTTCCAGTCTAAAAAATGGACAGTCACATACTATAATAATATAACGTGAATGTGTAGGTATCTTTTTGTAACGACTGGAATTTTATTACATGGATACCTTCCACGAATTTCGTGATAAACACACCAAAAGGAAGAACATTAAACAGATGATTACGAAAAAAAGCAAACAAGTGAACCGTTGCTGCAGCGAATTCTGTTTCCATTATTAACGGGAGCACAAGGAGAGCAGAAATAAGACGGAGTTCGCACCGTACTGATTCGATTTGTTCGTGCCGCGATGAATTTTTGATACGGCTCAGTGCACACTAATTTGTTTATCGTGTTTGGGCCGCGCTCTCCTGCTCTCCTGGTGCCGCCTCAAAATACACGTTAATTATTCACGAAAACAGACGTGTTTCTTCAACGTGCTCTACACGACGTGTGCTCCGTGTATTTTTGTAAAATTCGAGCAAATAAATAGTTGAATTATTTTTTATGTAAGGCAAAACACATGGCTTGAGTCTGCGGAAGTCAGCCTACTGTTTCGCTGCACGACAGCTTTGTCAATATTGAACAAATGCCCGAGTTTCCGCGCATAAAGGGATAGGTAATTTTATTTACTTCCACAATACCGGGACGCCGATTTGCGTTCGTTTTGCATAACCGTCGCGTGCTTAATTCATGATTAATTCCACGGAATCAATTTGAATTCATAACCGCCCGCAGACGCGATCCCGCGGCCAGATGCGGCTATGAGCCACTCCGAACGACACACACCAAGAATTAATTAAGTGCGCCATAGATACGAATCAGCGGCGTGGCAGGTGATTAAATAAATACAAGTTGGCGTACCTAATTAATATGCCAGACGCACCGCAGATAAGCGACATCTCCCGCGATTCCTGCTCGCCTAGTACCTCGATTAACACATTATTATAATTACGCGAAATTTGTCTTTCCGTACGTGGCAATGGCAAGGAGAACTCGTTAGATATTTATTAAATAGCCACAATTTATGGCGATATTAAATTTAATGTCCCTTAATGTTATTAATATAACGCAGTCGTATTCTTTTACGGTTTCCGAGTGCAATAAAACGCATTTAATCATTGCACAAACACTTGTATTAATTACTGCTTGGTGTTCATTGCCGTTATTGTTATTCTGCTAGTGTGCACTTACATAGCATACGGAGGTACTTAATTATGATGCAGTCGTAATAAGTATTGTGAGGTGTAAGGTAACATACGTTATAAAATGTAGCCTGTCAAAATATGAAGATAGAAGAACAAACATTTTATAGTCATAAAACACTGGAACTCAAGAAAAACGTTTGTAGAGTCCAATAAATTAAGATTATTGTAGTTTTTCCACGTCTAATACTGTGTACTGTAACGTGCGTTGCCATTTTCAAGGATTCATCATTTTCATTTTGTTTTGTTTAATAGGTATTTTGTTCCTTTTATGAATTTTTAAAATTCTAAAACAAAAGTTTAAATATTTAAAAAAAGAATCGTTCAAAGCCTAATTGGTACCACCACATCATTTCTCGATCGCAACTCACCAACACATCACGTTTCAACTCACACTTTTGTCGCCAGGTGACGCCAGCAACGCGAGTATCGGGTCCGGGGAGGGCACGGGCGAGGAGGACGACGACACCAACGGCAAGAAGAACCAAAAGAAACGGGGCATCTTCCCGAAGGTGGCCACCAACATACTGCGGGCGTGGCTCTTTCAGCACTTAACGGTGAGTGACAGATTCTTCTTATTGTGTTAAACAGCTTCATCTCATCTTTTAAACGTGCCAAAAGGGTCATAGTCTGAAAACCTACGTCAAATACGTAGGACCAAAATGTAGCGATAGCTTAAACATGCTCTTATAAGCACAGATTCTCTATTTCAGAATGGATTACTGAGCACAATAAAATTTAAAAAAATGATACGTTTAGAAATGTCTCAAATTACACTGGGAAAATCAAATGTATTCCAGCCAGTATGTCCTACCTATCAACGTAATTAAAAAGAAAATTATTTTTAACATTCTGAGTTAAAAGACCAGCGTTCTAGAGCTCTAGGCCACTAAATAGCGGACGCGTCGAGTACCACCTGAAATATTATGTCGCCCTGGTACTTCTAATACTTGAAGATGCACTTTTGCGCTACCATGTTTGTTTCTAATAGTGTCCGACCGAATATGGATTTTCAGCCGAAAACGGAAACGAAAACGAAGCTTCGGCTGCAGTCTCATTTTCGGCCGAAAACGAAAACGAAAACGAAAATGACCTTCAACTCTCAAGTTTCAATCTGAAATTATGTAAAATCTTTGGAAACCGTTAATGTTTTGACCAAAAACATAATGACGTTTGACAGAAAGAAAACCGGCATTAAAACACAAAAAATTGAATTATGAATTCTTAGTAGAATATTATTTCCGGTTTATATTGAAATATTGGGAAGTGAAGAAGAAATAAAGGGTGTCCAGTGGGAATTTTTCAACTTCAAAAATGATTCATACAAATAAATTAATTATTTTTTATTATTTATATAGTTTTATAGTTATCATTAGTGATAACTGGAATTTATCAATGCGGATTTATTTTTTTATAGGCAATGTACTCTCACAGCCGGACCCTTACATTCGCAACTATGCGAGAGCAAATCGCGCTAATAATTATCCTGCAACTTCACGGCGGATATTTTCTTACAGAACCTGAATTATTTAAGGATTGTTTGCTGTAAACTTTTGACTTGAGATATCCCCACAAGAAAAAGTCGCATGGTGTGAGATCTGGTGACCGAGGCGGCTAGAAAAAATAGTCCTCAGTGTCTCCATCGAGGTACTCTCCGTGTGTGGTGAGACACCTTGCTGAAATAGTAGTTGGCCGGGATGCAGTTGCAGTTGTGGTATCAGACATTCATCGATCATTCGACAATACATTTCAAATACTTATTGCTCAACTGCGAACGCTCTGTAGGCTCCCGACCAGTGACATATGGCGTATTTCAAATCCGCATTAGACTCTATTTTGAAACAATTAAACTTAATGAAAACTCTTTGGTTTTATTTGTATTCAATTTTGAACTTGGAAAATTTTCGCTGTACACCCTTTACAACGTAACCTCACTTCAAAACTTCAAAAGAGTGTGACAATACCGCGTCCGTTCAAGTCTGATTGGAACCATGAGTGCATCAGATTCACTCCCGAAGATATCGGAACGATAAACGTCCCCATCTTATTCACGTATTTTTGATATTCGGTTTGGCCGAAGCTTCGGCTGGTTTTTAGCCGAAAACGAAAATATGGCCGAATGACCATTTTTTGGCCGAAAATGGCCGAAAACGAAAACGAATATTCGGTCGGTCACTAGTTTCTAATCGTTAGCGATATGAGTTTGGTTATTTATGAATCCATGAAGTCCTGGTAACATGCTACGAAAATAGCGCATAGTTTTGTTACATTCCTGCTTTTGTAAAATATAATAAAATAACACTATTTGTGAGATAGTTTATGCTATCCTGGTAGTCTAGTTAGATTGATTTCCCTAGGAAAATAATAAATTATGAATCTTTATTAACAGTATTGTACATTTCTTGAAGCTATTGCTATTATTATGTTTCATGTCGTACTTACGTAGCACTTAAATAATGGTTTTCATTTAATGTTTTTCTATTCATCACTTTGTACTTTTCCCACTTTCCCATAATGCCTACTGTCAATACTTCCCGTAGTGTCAGTTTTGTTTAATGGAAACTAAGCGCATAGGAACTATGTGCTTGCAGCGCCACAATACAGCTGAATGCGCTGAAATTGCCAGCGTGTGGAAGTTGAAAAAACATACACAATGCGCCGCCAACTCGGACTTTTCAATTAAAATTTCCAGCGGGAGCAATAAATTTTTCATTGCGTATACAAAGCCGCTTTCAAAGGGCACAACCGTCTCTAAAGACAATCCAAACACAATATCGTAACTGAAAATATTATGTGATTATTGAAGATGGAAATGTAACTGATGGATTTCGACAAAAAGTAAGACATTAGCATAAGAAGGACGTCGAGACAGTCGGTGCAAGACTCAGTGTTGCGTAGTAATTTCTAGAATGGGTTTTCGCGCGGGGCGGAGGGGGAGGGGGCTGCAATTTCATTACCGGTCCGGATCCGCGTCCATAAATCACCAGGGCAGAAGGAGCACTCAGGTGACGCCGTCTCCTGAGCCCGGCATTTCTGTTTCGCTCGCAGCGAGCCACCCGAATCCCACTTTCTTTATGGCTATGAATTCCCCGAATTCCCAACGCGATCTACTCCAGTTACAAGTGCGAATTTTAATTACGCCGAAGCTTTTACAATTAGCCTCATGCCTGAAATATTGAGACAGGAATTTATTATTGGATCCGTATCTCCGCTGAAAAAGTTAAAGATTTATTTCCGGCCGTTTTAGAGTTCGAAGTTTAAAAAGTAACCGTCGACAATCGAATTAGGGGCTTTTAGCGTTTCGTTTGGCGCGTTTTTGCGCATCGCTGTCCGCGCCCATTACCGCGTGCCAAATTACTTATAATTGCTTCGCTTAGCGCTAAGTGCTTTCATTACGGCCGGCGCAGCCAGTGACGTGTCAATGGTGGCTCTGCACTCCGCCCTAATTCGTTGCTGAACAACAGTCGTGAGCCATCGACGCGACGTGGATAATGCTCAAATGGACGTGAAAAGATCATTCGACCCACATATCGGGCATGAAACTGCATAGCTGTCAACGTGACGTTTGTAATATTCATTCGATTACGCGGACGGACGCTGACAGCCACCTGCAGCCAATCAGCGCGGCCTATTCGAATATGGAATCGAATCAAATCTTACAGCGCGGTTACATGCGCGAATCAAACGCTGGAATTAATTCAGGAGTCCAAAAAGGCCATTGCAGCCCGGAATTGTCAGACATGGCGATTTGAATGCAGCGCGCCCGCAATATTGGTACCGATCCGAGTGACCGCTGCTTGAATTTTAAAACTGGCCGTGATCTATGTTTTGTGGCGGCCATTCTGAATCGCAATTTCAGTGATTTGCCAAGATTGTCGTTACCTTTTTATTTTGAGAGTTGAACGTTTTATGCGACGTTTTAGTAGTTAAAAAGTTCAAAGTAGAAAACGTTGTTGAAAAGTTCTATGGTTCAGCAATATCTTTTCGTTATGTATCTTACGTTCTTTTCGACTCTACATTTATTACAATATTTGGGGACATACTTAGATATTAGCCCATAGAGAGGTAGAGCTTTCGAAAGCTCAGCTCTTATAATAAAAGTAAAGAAATGATTCGTAAAGTACAGTTTCCTTCTAAAAAACCCAACTTATAATAACACCTAAGGGGGCATAAAGTAATAATAACCAGAAACAAGAATAACACAAGTCAAAACACCATCGTGCGACAGTCGGGACATTCATTAGGGCGCGCGCAAATCTCTTAATACGTACCTGGCGCGCCGAAAACGAAGGCATAATATTGAATAAAAGCCAACGCACACGATGCGATGCGATGCTGCACCGCGAAGAACAGGTTAAGAAAATCCTTATGAAAAAGGATAGTATAAAGTAAACGATTATTTAAATGACAAGAGTGCGTGGATTTTACCTGCCTAGGTCGCACTTATTACGTTAAAAATTACTGTATTTGATTGAAAAAGAGGCTGACAAAGGTGACTGAGTTTCTTCCGCCACTTCTTCTCAGCACCGGCCCGTATGTTGTCCCGAAGTGGTGGTAGGGCAAGCTATACTTGAGACGTGTATAAGTGCCCTGGAAAGGGTCTAAGTACTGAATAAACTATTTCATTTAATTTCATTTCAAGACTTCGCCGTAGTATCGCGTAAAGCGGCGCCGCACCGCTCGTGTGCCTGCCACAGATATTAATTTCTATGTAAGTCCACGCAGCCACACCGCACCGGCGTCGCATCGCCGCCGCAACGCATCGTGTGCTCTGGCCCTTACGGAAAACGAACGAATAATATTGAATAACGCCCCAAAGCCTGTAAGCCGCGGCTAAAAATAATGCTGGCAACACCGAGACAGATTCCAAAGTCTATATTGTTTTTGGTATGTCAGAATTAATGCTGCTTGTACTTTGGTGAACTTTATAATTAGACTTCAAAATGTTTAAGGGGTCGGTCTTCTATACAACAAGTAGGTATGGAGCAAAACATTTATATTTTATTGCAGAAAAAGATAACAGCAAAGTTTTTTTTGTTGTTTTTAGTCAGGAACATAATTCAAATTTTAATTTATTGAATTCATAATTTAACTAGACAAAAAAAGATTAAAATTAATGCATTTTGAATTACAGCTGTACCTGCCTCGTTACAACATGGTGTTAATTATATTTTTTAATTATTTATATCGCGTGCAATAAAACCACCAGGACAACAGATGCTTTAGGAGGTCTACAAACGCGGAATTCCTAGCGCTCGGTGTTCGGTTTCCAGCAAGTATCGGGTTCGCTTTGAGGAGCCGTGTGGCACAATTTATACGTTATTTATGCACATGGACGCACACCGTCCCGGCGTTATGCGCGCCTGGTACTTTATGGTTATTACACGGTCACGTCAAAAGCTAATAGAAATGGAAAATTGCTTCTATTCTCAACAGCGGCTTAATGTGAACATTACATACATCAAACATAATAAAGATGGGTTCATTTTCATCATTACTAAGAAATTTCTTTATAAGCAAACGTCTGCTTCGTCGTTCGATTGTTGATGAGAGGAAAATTTCCAAAAAGAGTGTGTATATTGGACTTACGTTCCCAGCCCTATATTTCTTTCTCGAGCAATATCAATGCGCAGAATTTAGTTTGGTCCCAAAACATTTCCTTATTAGTGTCCGAACTACGGCAGCAAAAGCCTTTATTTAGGCCGCACTAAACCAATAACGTTCCCCCAAAATATGGCTCAATGCTCGGCCGTTTTTGGTGTTAAAAATCTTGAGGAAACTTGCCTTCCCTAGCTTTATTTAGCAAAAGGGCGCCTCGTAAGTTTCGCCGAGCGGGGCAAATTGCAAGCGAATCCGGGGAACAAGAATTTATTAATATTGGAAGACGGTGGACGGGCCCGCGAATTAAACGGTAAAGACCTTTTTTATTCGCCACCGAATAAATACTGGTTGGTGCGTTGACACTGCGTTTTGATGGAAATTTAGCGCGATGTAATTTATGGCGCAAGATGGCGGCGGTTGGGGAGAAAATACTTTAAATGTATCTATTTGCAGTCATAAATGTCTGAGTCGATCAGAAAAATAAACAGAATTGACCTTTCTCTCAACATACTTGTTTAAGATGTTTTTTACTTCGAATAGAAATATAGCAGCAATAAGAAAGCTCAGTAAAAGCAATAAATGAGCGTTGTTTATTTCCAAATAGGAACTGCAGCATCCAAACAAATGCTCCAAGAAGTTCGAGGCGAAAGGATTTCCTTCATGTTTTTCTCAACAAATTCATTACAAGCCCCACAAACATTAATCTTGACGCGCGACACTCGGAATCCATCGCCCCAGCGGCGACAGAAATCATTTCCGTTATTCCGGAGACCAGATTTCCGAAAACTACCCACTTTTTAAGTAAGCGACGTTTAATACCTACCCACCGCCGACCGGACAGGAAATTCGGATCTGGCGGAAATAGAGTGTGTAGGTGCGACGATGTTATACATCCCGACGGGCATTAGAAAGGGACAGGCCGAAGCCTCGCTGAAATCTTCAAAATTTGAATTTGGAATGTGCGGGTATATGCTATTAACTCGATCGATGGGGTTCGCATTTCAAACTCAATACATATGCGTTCCTTTTTCGAACGTTTCAGTTCGAGATTTAAAAGAGTCCACATCACTTTTAATATGATTTCTTATTTTTAAAAGCTGTCAATTTTTTTTCGGAATTGATGTCATTTTTAATTAGTCGACTTCCGATTTTAAAAGGGAAGTTTTTTAACGTTTTATCCTGCCAGATTGTCATTTAAGTAGTCGTGTGAGTACTCGTAGATGTTTCAAATGGGCAATTATTCGCTAATTCTACACAAGATGGACGTCATTTCTTTTTCGTTTTAACGCTGCATTAACAGGACGGAGTTTTCGTTAATTAATACTGTCATTTGATAGGCGAGTTTGCAGAAAGGGTTTTCGTGTTTGCTGGGGTAGCGGGATCTATTCTCGGAATAGATTAGCCGAGTTATCGTATTCGCTGCAGTTTGCTTAGGATCCTTGACAGAAGGGGTGGGAATATTGACAGAGATTTTTGGTAGTTGAAAAGATTACTGTTAAAAAGTCAACATTGGGGATTGTAAACAATGTTGGAAGCGATAATGCTTGTTCTGAGATCTTTTGAGATCTTTTTGGATGCCAATCATGGGCTGAAGGCTTTGAGGGGAACAGACAGACTGACAGCTTCTGGTCGGGCTTTGAGTAGGCTTTTTGAAATCTGCATGACGTACGGACATTGATTTGTTGCCTTTTTAAAGTTCTTGACAACTATTTTGCTTACTATGAGAAGTTTCTAGTAAGAGATGACAGAATGAGTAAATACGATGACGAATAGTTGCAAAACTGAAAATTGACAAACCTAACAACAAACGCAAACATTTTGTAACTTTTGAACAAGTTTGATCTTGCTACCTAATGCTAAATGTGGTAATCCTTATACCCACATTTCACCGTTAATCCACAGGGTGAACCTTTGGATATATTTTGCATACACCTTCCAAACCCCAAGATCTGAAGTCGCCGACGAATTTTTGCCTTTGCCCAGTGCCCAGTCCCATAGAATCTATGGGATAGATTGACCACTATCAAGCGTCCCTCCGAACCGTATCCTGTAACCTTAGACACTGTCCACTCAGATACCTTATCTTAACGGCCGGGGGCGTCCCTCCCCCTCCCCCCGATACACCGGCCAGATATGAAATGGGTAGTTTTGGTCAGTAACTAACTGTGGCTTTTATTGCAGTTGTTTGTAATTGTTCGCCAGATTTGACGTGATCGTGACGTTATTGTTTAAGAGATGAAGGCATTCTGTAATAAGTTTTAAAAGTTAGTTATTCATACGAGTATCAATATTTAAGAATGTTTTCTAGTCGCTCTAGCATAAGCCCTGCTATGTTTAGACTCTTGGATATTCAAATGCAATCGGAATTTGTTTTAGTCGTGCTTTTGCTATAATGTCCTATTAGTCCAGTCAATGAATGCCTTAACGACGGTGTAGAGAGAAATCCGTGGAACACAATTTCTGACCTCGGGACTTTATTTAGCCTAGTTAGGTGGTGAACATAGCAAAAGTCCCCGCCCTTAGCCCTTGAGCCGGCGGGGAGAGGGGGGTTTAAAGGTACCACTTTTCGGTTTTTCGCTTAATCCTCGGAAACTATGCGTCCTAGTGACATGACTACTATGAACCAAAAAAAGCTTATTCAATTTGCTACTGGTGAGACCGTCAAGTTTTTCTATATCTTGAATTCTTAAAATTTCCAATATTACAGACCTTCTAGAGCAGATGCCGCGAAAACTATACAATTTATAGAAAAACTTGACTATCTCATCTGTAGCAAATTGAATATGCTTTTTTTGGTTCATAGTAGTCATGTCACTAGGACGCATAGTTTCCGAGGATTAAGCGAAAAACCGAAAAGTGGCACCTTTAAACCCCCCTCTCCCCGCCGGCTCAAGGGCTAAGGGCGGGGACTTTTGCTATGTTCACCTCCTAACTAGTCTAAATAAAGTCCTGAAGTCAGAAATTGTGTTCTACAGTTTTCCATCTATAATGCTTTATTGACTGGACTATATGTAAATAAAATTGATAGTAATACTGTCATTAAATATGCCATTTTGTCAATGATTTCAGCCATCTTTATTACACAGTGCTGCTATTTTCATCACATTTCCCATTCTACACATATCCGATTCCCTTTTCGCCCATCCACAAAGCACATTGTCTTCTAATTTATGTCGACATTCCCATATTCCAGGAAAAACGTAAATAAACCCATACAAACAATAACTAAGCTGAGCCCCGAGTACCAGGGCACCATAAGTTAGCGACAAGCAATATTCCGCTGCGAAAAACCCTGCGATCCACTCTTTGATTAATGCATTCCACGTCACAGTTATTGCGTCGCCTGGTCCCCTATATCAGGAGGTGTTATGCCAAATCTAGGGTATATTAAAAAGGGCGTATTTACGAGGGAGATACACCTGCTCGCAGATATATAGCTTCCTCAGGGCTGATAGGCTAAACGCCGGTAGCAGCTTATGGAGGTATTATAAAGATGTCGGCGCAATTTTTTTGTCTGCTATCTTAATTTATGGCAGGTTTTCTGGAATCGAAGGTTTCAGTTTTGTGCGTCCCTTGGTTGGTGATGAACGGGCTTCGGTCATATTGGATTTTTGATACCATTTCTTTCCTCTTTAATGTTACTTTATACTGGGTATAAATTCGTGATTTTTATTAAAATGTTATTCACAAAAAATAAGCATAGACTTCTAGTTTTCTCGAGGTTTATTTTTACTATACAGTCATAACTTTCCCGTCAGTCTTCACCAACTTTCGTGTTAAAATCAAGTAGCCTACCTAACTTCTAAGTAATTCTAGTCCACCTTTCACTTAACAAGTCCATTCCAAATGCATTTTCAATTGAATCGTGCTACATAAACTGCGATCGGGGGGTTCTAACGAAGTTAAATGATTCAAAAAGAGCCTGATAGTGTAGCAAAGGGTTTGGGTCGCAGGCGGCCACATAATTCCCTTTTCTTAGTACTGCTGGGTTAAAAATGTACCGCTGGTCAGTCCCACGGGGCAGGACGGTGAATACTGGATGAACCTTCGGTGTTCTTCGCTCAAACCATTCAAAGGGATACTTTGTGGCGGTAGTACAAATTATGTTGTTTCAATTTTGCATGGCTGTTTTAAGCAGTGGCAGGCTGTTTTATTCTGAGGTAGTAAATTACTTATTAAAGGCTGATTTTTTAACCATCGGATATCTTGTAACTGAAGAATAAAATAATTGTCCTTTTGACTTATTTCCCATACTGAATCGATTGAAACTTAGTCAATAAAATTTCGCTCCGGGCACTCTAAAATTGTGACTTTTACGTACATAACAGTACAAAAACTTACATTGTGATCTCTGATTAAATTGATGTAACTAACGCCCAAATGAAACCACCATAATCTTTCATTTGTTTGTTGCCTCCATTATAATTTCCATAGCGAACCGTCCAAGTTGCGCAGTAAATTTGAGCCGAACTGAATGGGTTACACGCGGGAATTTTTCCAAGGAGAAAACTTACATTTTCCCGGAAAGTTGGTAAAGTTGGTGCAAGTAATCTAAAGTTAGGTACCAGGGCGGCAGAGGCTATTTAGATGCACATCTTAACTCGGCCATATATCTAGATTGTGAGCGAAGTTCTCGGCCGGAGTGTTGGGATCTTTTTTCTTTGGGAAATTGCAAGTGTGGACGTCGCTAGTAATCCGGGTTGGATTCTATCGAGTTAATTAAAACAAAGAGCGCTCGGTATTTATGCGCGCCTAGTACACCAGCGGGGTTGCTGTCGATTTGCCACAAAGATTTACAATAAAAGGACGAATTTTTTACAGTCATGATTTTTTCGTGACGTAATCGCACGCATTTGTATTAATTTGTAGCAAATTATTGCCATTTTTTTATCCACAACTAGAAAACTCTTGACCTGGCTTGTATAGCACCTGATGGAAAGTGATGATCGCGAAGGTAGAAGCGAGCTTCATCCAGAATCCTCAATCACAGAGGAACTGGCTATCTTACCTCCAATTGCCGAATATACTCGTATGTTTATGACGAATTTACTTCGTGGTAAATCGGCAATAACCCCTTTTGTTGTGGTAATAGCAGCTATTTTGCGACAAAACTGTACAGTCTGTACACGGGGCCGGGTATTTATTTAATTTTAATAAACAATCATTTGCATACAGCGTGGTCGGGAGCGATAATGCGCTTTGCACACGATGAGTTATCGGCGGGTGACGTTTAATTTTGGGTTTAGGCAGATTACGCCAGCGTCAGAACGCGTCTTGGGCTGGTTGCACCAACTTTAACCGTAACTATGACGATAACCGTTGTTTTTGTATGGAGTTTGACAGGTTTTTGTTTGACATAATTTGTTAAAGTTAAAGTACGGGTAAAGATAGTGCAACTCAGCCTTAACATTTTGATTGGAAGCATAAATCACTTGAATCTTTGCTGTGTACGAGTATTTACTTAGTAGCTAAGAAATCAATAAATAAGTTTGTTAATAGAGTTCGTGAGCTGGTGTCACTCTTTGCCATTTAAAAACATTAAGTACAAAAATTATATTAATCTAACTTAGGCTCTAAATGATCATTATAAAGTATGGAAGTGCCATCAGCCAAAAAACAAAAAAAATCTTAGGCCTTGCTGAGAAACTTAGTAAAAAGTATTTTTATACATATTTTGTGCCTGGCTGCGTTGTGGCTGCCTGCTGCTCTTTATTTTCTGTAGTTAATAATTAAACATTTAGTTTATTTTTGTTTTCCCATGTAATTCAACACGCAACAAAAGCTTATTAGTGGACGCTTAAACTTGACAAAAAACTTCCCCTGGCCTCCACTATCATTTCCCTGGCGGGTCAGGCCAGCCGAGCGTACCAGGGGGCCAGATAGGTTAATCAGCGCCGGGCATTAGCGGCGAGCCCCACGCTCGATTAGCCACGCTGACCGCTTCAAACTTCTGCCCTCCTGGTACCTAGACGTTTAATATAATGCGATTAAGGGATTATGGAAGGTAGTTGTAAATTATCTATGGATGAATAATGGACCGTAAGTATGATACTATTATTATGATGTACCTAAATGTAATTAAAGTATTAGTTTAGAAATAATAATAAACAGATGAATTATGGTGACCACTGCTGAAAACAACAATGATTCTGCTTATCCTATGTTTATTCGTTTCGTCCTGACTCTACAGGCTTTACACCTTTTAATCTCACTCCAGTCACTTTTAATTGGAAAATTGGAATGTAAAGTCAAGTAATGTAACAAAACATTACCATTTTCACTATCCTAGAATGTCTATAATCTCTCATTTTTGCTGACCAAAATCATTGCATTTTAAGTAAACTATCACTCGTACAGAAAAAGCAATGTCCAGTATTTCCTTCCCTTGCTGGTCAAGCTACGAGAGCACAGCAGTTTTGGGCGTATTTATCTATCTGTATTACTGTAATAACTACAATCACTGCATTTTAAGCAAACTGTCACTGTTTAAGAAAAATCTGTGTCCAGTATTTCCTTCCCCTGCTAGTCAAGCTACCAGGGCAGCAGTAGTTTTGGGACTCAGTTGTTTCATGTAAAGCGAATAGACATTTTATCTATCTGTATTATTACTGTAATAAGTACAATCACTGCATTTTAAGCAATTTTTGACAAATAAAACACAAAACATTGTCCAGTATTTCGTTCCCCTGCCGGTCAAGCTACCAGGTCCGCAGCAGTATTGAGGCATCGCTTTCTTCCTGTTAACAACTACAATCACTTATTTTAAAGAAATTGTCACAGTTAAAGAAAAAGCAGTGTCCAATTTCTCGTTCCCCTGCCGGTCAAGCTACCAGGGCCGCAGCGGCTTAGCTATCGCCCGATAATGCCTTCGCGCGATTACGACTCCTGCGCTTGCACTAAGCCCGGCTTTGCTTAATCGTCAAACAAGTGGGGGTAGTTTGTTATTAGCTTATTAGTGAATTCAGCAATGAAATGGCTTTATTATGGTGAAAGAAAAGTTTTGAGTTAATACGTAGGAAAGGTAGGTAAATGTTGAGCGAAGAGGGCATACGTAAAGTTTGATCAGTAACGTAGCAAAAAAGGAATTGAGTGACAAGGCACATACGTAGAGTTACAAAAGTACTTTAGCTATGTTTAACAGTATAGAGGTTTATACATATAAAAGCACCGAGAATTTTACACAAATCACTGCAACATGCTTTATACAGTGTGAGTCACGTTAAAGTGTACATATGAAAATAGATGAAACTAGACCTATTTTTATCGACAAAAAAGAGGTCAAAAAATTTTTAAGATTTTTTTTAAATTTTTTATAGAATTTTTTTTCTCCCAATTAGTTATTGTAAAGAAAACGTAATAACTTTTAAACTAAGCGGTATATCCTAATAAAATAAAAACAATAATAATGCTAAATAACAGGCGATACTAAAAAAATACATAAAATACACAAAAATGGCCAACAAATAATAAAAAATGATACTTTTTGAAAAAAATCTGCTTTTAAATTCGTGTTTTTTTGGTTATTTGATCAATTTCTCCAAAAAATGCCCCTATAACCGGTGGTTTTTATTACTTTGNCAGCTGCTAACATTCAGTACAATAAACATCTTCAGATGACAATAACATAATATCGTGACAAACATTGAAGATACTTTATTTATATTAAGTGTAGTTTATCCGGCTTATTGTATTTGAAAACTATAAGTGAAATGGAAAGATTTACTGAAGACGACTTCATTAGTATACATAGTAAAGACGGTAGTAAGAGGCTTTAAAAAGGCTGATTAGGTTACTAATGAATATCTGTTATTATTGTACTAATAATTTTAACTGGCAAAAAACTAATTGTAGAATGGACCAAATATTTCATGTACTATTTTACATTGTAGTTCTTTCTATTTACGTTGTAAACGTGTAAGTCAGTAACATGCACAAAGAATGCTGGTATTTTATAATAAATTGTGTTATGTAAGTTAACTTTGTTGTATATGTTATTGAATGTTACGAGAGTTAAAATTCACTGTGATAGATCAAATAAATGTTTTTATACTAAAAATAAAATTGCTTTAATTGCGTACTAACGGAATAATTTTAGAACAAAATATATCTTGGAAGTGTAGGTAGGTACTATTTCAGACATCGTGACAGTATTTGCAGAATACATATTAGAAAAATAGAAGATATTAACGGCCCCGTAGCTTTACCCTGCCACTAATCTAAACTGTCCATCTTAATAATCTGCGTAGTAATTTTGATATGTATGTAAGTATACAACACATTTATTTATCAACGACAGAGCTGTAGAAACTGTTACTTCGTTCCGAAAATAGTTACTTGTCCTACCAGGCCCCACTCAGTGCATATTATTGGCGCCAAATATGTGACAAAGTATATTTGTATAAAGATAAAAAGATAGTTCCCTCTTTTGAAAAATGAATTATATTTAAATGAAATTAAACAAACTGAACTAAATGATCACAAGCTAAAAATATGAAGCACAAAATGCTATGCTGATTTTTCATAATGATAAAAGATCTCCAACTCATTATTGAATGTAAATAAAACGAATCAATAAACAAGAACAGTGATCCCTCAGTTGGCATGTCCAATTTGTCCTCTTCTACCGCGTCTTAGGACGTGTATCGAATGCCAGCCTTAGGGTGATTCCGTCGAATGGTGTCCAATTTTCGATTAATAGAAATGTCGTTTCAGGTGTCTTTTTTCTCACTGTCACTGACTGATTTTGTCGTGGGATCCTTTTCTTTTGCCAAACGTTGTTTGCTGAATTTACCCATGCCCGGTTGATAGATGACGAGGCTTGGGCGATCCTGAAAAAAAAAGCAAAAAATTAACAAAAATCCATAAGTTACAGATACATTGCACAATTTTTTCAATTATTAGCTACTTACTTTGTTTCTAATCCTCCTTTCCGTACGACGCTCTGAGCTCTCACTCTTTTCTTTTTCTTCAGACCCTTCTCTATCTGTGGACTTACTTCTATCATCAAAACTTTTCTGCCTCTCATACCCAGATTCTTCTTTATCTTGGGACTCACTTGAGTCTACACTATTTCTGTGAACTCTGGTCACTTCAAATTCTCTTTCGGTTACATTGTCATTAGAATCTTTTGTATCTTTATGTACTTTAGAATCAGAATCCTCTATTCTTGCTTTTTTATCCATACCTTCAATAAGTTTAGTCAAATCATCAGTTTTCACTTGTGGCAGTTGTGTAAATGGTTTAATATCATCATGGTTAATTTTGCTTTTGCCCTCTGAAGACATCATTTTGTTGATAACTGCTTGTTTATCAGACTTTCCACTCTCTATCTGTTTGACCCTTTCTTTCCTGGTGTCACTGTACTTCTTGCTCTTAAGTTCGCGAGGCGATTCCTTAAATTTGTCACGTTTATCTTTTTTGTAGCCTTTATCAGAATCTTCCCCTTCTTCATCCTTGTTAGACATTTCTCTCTTGTCATTGTCAAGTTTCTTTTTCTTGTCCACACTAGATCCTACCTTTCTTTGTTCCCTGTATGTCTTGGACTCAAACACTGTCCCATCTTTAGTTTCATTCTTTAGAGACTCCTCTTTAGGTTCAGACGTTGATTTGTCTCTGTCCCACTCCCTTGGCTTAATTTTCTTTACTTCATTTTCAGTAGATTCTTCCTCCTGAAATAACAATAATATTTTTTTGTAAAACGAAATCAACCTTTCTACTTCATAGTCTAATATACTATACTTCTATCAACAAAATGTATCTATTCTCATAGTTTATTAACTAAACAATGAAAGAAGTGATGGTTTCAATTAACTATGCATTTGTGACATGACAATAATAATGAACTATAGATCAATACTGCTAATCTCAATCAGAAATATGTGGAGCCATGAAAAACGAATCTGGTAAACCTTGAGGCCAGTATCACCGCCACTTTTCTGACTACCTTCTGGTATGTCTTTTTTCTCGCAATGTTTACCAGATGTCAGAGTAAAAGTATTATGGGTTTTCATAGACAATGCTGGGAAATGACTGTCCCAATCAGAGTCCGTGCTAATGAATTCGTCTGAACCATGAGTACTTTTTAACTCTGGCTTCACAGATCTCACTTTGCTTTTATGGTAAACTCTTTGCTCTCCAAACCAAAAATTCTTGTGCTTGGATTCATAGTGATCACAACTATCGGCGATAGCTTCATCTTCTGATATGTCACCAGGTCTCTAAAGGAGACAGTAATATTACGTAAAAAAATATGCAAGACATTACTAAGCTAATAAAAATAATATTAACTGTTACAGAATGGTGCTCTTAAGAGCCAAGAGCTGCTAATTAATTTGTATAGTACCAGGACTACCAAGCAGATTTTGACAACCTATATCAGAAAATAATCTTGAGATCACTGATACAGTTGCAACTGGATTTAACCATATTTCTGCTATAAGATTGATATAATGTTAATTTGGGACTACTACCAACCTTGATTGGTCCTTCCTTAGTCTTCCGTTCTATCCTCATCTTTCTTTTGTCATTTTCCCGCCTACGGCGCTCATCGCGGCCACGCTTGTCCTGTTTACGGGCAGCCAGGTATTCTAGAAGCGGTGTTGATTGGACTTTCTTATCATTTCCTGTAAGAATGCATTAAAAATACTGAGGCATCAAAACTACAACTCAAGTCCTAACAATACTACATAATTTAAGTTTTAGAATGTTAATTTTAACAGCAAACACATAGCACAAGAACGAGTTAACTGTTTTTATAAAAGGATGCTTTTAAAATCAAGTTATGTAAATAGTCAAGTTTTTTCTTTAGTCTTAAAAATGTTCTTTTGCATAACAAGTTGAAATGCAATGAGTAAATAACCTTTACTATAATAACCTACCATCATTGACTGGATATGAGTACTCAAGTTTTGGCTGGTTCTCTGGTTCAGCCTCTTTAGTCAGGTTCTCTATGAATTCTTGGAAAATTGGGTCACTTTCAATGGTGCCACATTTGGGATCTTTTTTCTTCTTCTTTTTGGGAATCCTTTGAAATGGGGCATACTCCACTATACCAACATACTCCACACCTGCAATCATTATCATTCAATTAATTAGGTATTTATTTATTTATTATTACAACACCTAAGCCATTGTAGAAAGTACACAAACACAATACACACGCAAAACAAAGTAATATAGAATGAAAGTAAAAACCATAGCAGGTATTTATTTACATAATCTTACCCTTTTCGTCAAGAAAAATGTAACCATCAAATTTATCCCTGAATAGATAAATATCTTCCACATTCACAAAATTTATATAAGCCCGCGAGTAAACATTGTTTCCGAGTGACGTATCAGGCTTGGCAAAATAGAAGTGGTCGTGCTCGGGTATTGGGGACACCTGCTCCAAGAATCCTTCCTCAGTCATAGTTGGCGGTAAACGCCGTAATATAATCTACAACAAACAATACTCGTCAATACAATCTCAAAAATGTAGAACGGTGGCAAAATAATGCAACAAAAATAATCACTTTGGTCAGTGGCCGTTGGGTCTTCGCTTTCTTGTCTTTGTTCTTGTTGGTAAATGTCTTACTCCCCGAGTCAGACTGCGAATCTTTAGCATCTTGATCCTCTGTCATTTTTCAATTTAAATAAAATGCGATAAATTTCTTGTTCGATTGCTCGACATTATCAAAAAACCGTGTGCTATCGTGTGAAATTTGACGGCAGTTAAACGTCAAACAAAGACGTCAGATGAAATCTGTGGAAGAAATGTTGCCATGATAAAATTAAAAAAATAAAAAAAACTTTTTTAAGCCTGCATGGCTTGTGCATTTGCTATTTGGCCACGTACAAGATGGAAAATAAATTTTGAGAAACTTGACTTTAAAAGAAAAGGATGGGCAAAATAGAGAATGAATTAAGTAACTAAAGTGAAAGAAAGAAAAATAAAAGCCCTGTTGGCCGATGCAACTACAACTAAACCACCTTCATTTGATTAAGCATTAAAGTACAATACATGATATACCCTCGTTTACCTAGATATAAACAGTTAACATTACCTACTTAAAAACAATAAAACCATTTAATCAAAAACAACAATCAAATAAAAAAATCAATGGCTTCATTTAAAAAATTAACTAATTAAGATATCCAAAGCCGTAAAGCCTGTAAAAAAAGTTACATTTTGAGGTTATTCTGTCAAAGTTGATAGTTCCGATTTGGTTGGTATTGAAAAATTACAAAGAATTTGAAGACATTTTTATAGAAATACTAACTTAGAATTTAAATATGCATTGTTTTAAAAGATCTCTGCCAAGTATACACAGTGTAAGAAATATGGTGGCCAGAACTACGTTGCCTCATTACAGAAAACCAACAAATCTAAGAGGGTTTTCTATCACTATTGATGAAAATAGTAATGTAGAAAAGACCGATATTGATTCAACCCCAAAAGGAGGATTTGCAAAGGCCTTTGAAAAACAATCCCAACTTAATGAAATCCAAGATAGTGAACAAAATCACACTTTCGCTTCATTACTCAGGAACTCAAAGCTGATCGATGTAAGTTATTTATTTTGTGTACTAGGTGTTGCTGTTAATTAGTAGTTGTTACTGTATATGTCGCAGTCAGATTGTATAATCCGCCGTTTTACATTATAGCTAGGCATTTTGCATTACAGCTCTGTTTTGTAATACGGCGGATTAACGTTTAGCCGGATTGAATACGGCTAAATGAAAATCCGCCGGAATGTATTCGGCGCCAAACGTTCTTCAATACGGCTAGCCGTAATGTGAAACAGCGTGTCATTACCCGCCGCTTTGACAGTTTTTAGTTCCTATTTTCAATACCGTGGCGCTGCCGGACAAAGTGGCTATGGATTCTGGTGTTCGGCGGAATCCTACACAATATTATTAGTGTAAAAATATGAAAACATGGCTGTGGCCGGTGAAGATAATTTTATCTTAAAGAAAAATAACCCAGAAAAAAATAACTAAAACTTTATTGTTTTGAGTTACCTGTTTGTTCCCTTTGATCATTTTTAATGTCTAAAAAAGACTAAAGCCAAATATCTAATTAATTCTTAAATTTTTAGAAAAGTCTAATTGTTTTGAGTTACTTTTTTTAGATGGCTATCCCTTGTGATTTATAAATAAGTAAAAAAAAAATACTGAAGCCAAATATATTATTTAGTATAGGTACAGTGACGAAGGTAATAATTCTTAAAATCTGTCTTATTAAAATTTATTTTCATTAAACATTGTTTTATTTTGTAAGTATGGTCACCCTACAATCTACAGTATAACGATGCGGCTAAACGTGGGCCGCCGTATTGAAGAACGTATCGCAATTACAATCCGCCTAAACGTTGAACCGCCGTATTAAAAAACAGAGCTGTAATGTAAAATGGCTAGTGGTAATGTAAAACGGCGGATTATACAATCCGACTGCGACATATATAATTATTATGATCATCTTTTCAGCTGGGCGATCCAGTAGGCAAAACAGTTATTGGGAAAATATTCCATGTTGTTGAAGATGACCTGTACATAGATTTTGGATGGAAATTTCACTGCGTATGCACTCGTCCAGAAAACAGAGGTAACGAATATGTCAGAGGCGCGAGAGTTCGCGTTCTGATCAATGATTTGGAGCTCTCATCGAGATTTCTCGGTTCAAGCACTGACCTCACACTCCTGGAAGCGGATTGCAAGTTATTGGGCATTGTGTCTTCCCCTCTCAGAGCAACAGTCAATGTAAGAAAGTAGTTTTGTTGTAGTTAGATGTAGTTTTAAAGTAATAAAGTTGTTTAATGTTATACTTGTTGATATTTTCCTCTAAGTATTGATGAATGAACAATGTGTAAGTCAACTAGGTAGGCGATTTAAAAAACAAACCCAAATAATGAATACATAAATCATTTAATTGACTTATTTATACATGGACAACATTTATAATGTGACTGGCTGGGAACAACCTCTAGTATAATCATTACAACATTTTTTAAAATATCTATTTATTGTCTGAATATGATATTTTAATATCTCTATCAAAAATGTTTAACACTCCTTTTACAATTGTTTACATTGTTAGGGAAACTATTTTGAGTGAGAATGAACAAAGCTTCTACACTCCAAACTACTAACTATTATAACAACAGACATTTTAAAAAACCACATAGTATCTTGTTTGAAAATTGTTTAACTTGGGTGGATATTATTTAATGGAATGTTAAATATGTCATATTTCAAAACCCACCTTAGGATTACCACCCATTAGATTACTTATACAGCCAGAAAGAATGCGAGTCACATGTAAATAGAACAGTAACAGCTTTGCTTGTATCACATTAAGCAGATATAAATTAGAAAGAACAGACTTTTCAACATAAATATCTGACTGTGCAGCCTACTACTTGTATAAGTTTAAATAGTATTCCACAGTATACATTACAAATTGCAAATACATGTATCTAATATAATAACTGGCCATTGTTTAATGAGATTATAAATTCAAGCATTGAGATTCTCTACTGTACTTTATCACCATTCCTCGAAACGATCTCTTGTATACTTGGGTCTTTGACGGCGTCGTTGGCGTCGGGTTTTGCTTCTAATAAATCGTCTACAGAAGACGGTGGAGCGTCAGTAGCCTCGTTATGAGGATGTGTGCGTTCCCAATCCTTGAGGTAATTGACTACGGCAGTGTGGCCGAATGTTTCGGCCTCGTTTAGAGGGCGGCTGCCCCAGCGGTCGCGGGGGTCATGGGGCACCGCGCATTGGGCTAAGAGGAAGTCTACACACGCTAGGTGCCCTTCAGCCGCCGCTAAATGCAGAGCAGTGCGGCCGTCGTAGTCCGATAATGTCATGTCCATTCCAGATAAGTGGTGCCTGAAAACAAAAGAAAAACATTANAAACGATCATAGCAAATGTTGTGATAGGGATAGAGACATGAGATTTTTGGTTTTACGAAGGTAATACGATAGAGAATAATACAAAGTAATAAAAACCACCTGTTATAGGGGCATTTTTTGGAGAAATTTATCAAATAACCAAAAAAACACGAATTTAAAAGCAGATTTTTTTCAAAAAGTATCATTTTTTATTATTTGTTGGCATTTTTTGTGTATTTTATGTATTTTTTTAGTATCGCCTGCTATTTTGCATTATTGCTGTTTTTATTTTATCAAGATATACCGCTTAGTTTAAAAGGTATTACGTTTTCTTTACAAGAAGTAATTGGAAGAAAAAAAATTCTATAAAAAATTAAAAAAAAATATCAAAAAAAATTTGACCTCTTTTTTGTCGATAAAAATAGGTCTAGTTTCATCTATTTTCATATGTACACTTTAACGTGACTCACACTGTATTTTCATGCTCTGTTTAAGTGATTTACCTATCACTTTCTAGTAACATCAATATAACAATGAAATAATACTAAAATCCGAGAGAATCATTCGCTCTTTATTACTCCCTGAAACTCATTAAACAGCATCGATTTATGAATTCCAGTAAAGTCCACGTTCCTACACTGATTGAGTAGTAACGTCTTAAAATACGCGTGACAGGAACGCGTATCTAGACGAGTATACTGCGTTCCTGATTGGTACAATCACGCCGCACAGCACTAAAGTCGCATCTCTACTGTATTTCAAATTTAGAACCGTTGTAAATAGTGTCAAAGATCAATAAGTACAGACAGTCTTATTTGTGCAAATGCAGTTGTTGCCTAATTTGGTAACCGCATAGTTTTGTGCGTAAGCGTCTGGGTATTCAATGAAGGAATGTTTCATCTTCATGGGCTATGGCGACATGTCACGGAGAATTTTAACCTTTACAGGCATGTAAATACATCACTTACTATCATCAGCAGACTAAAACAGTTTTGATCCAAAATATAACCTATTAGAACTAAAAAAAATATCACTGTTTAGCGTAGGTATATGATTAGTTTTAAATATTTATTTATTATGTTTTATCAGTTTTATGTATTATTAAATAAATTATGTACTTACAAGTGTATTCTCCTTATTTCAGGTAAGTTTAGGCGTCACTTCTCAACATGCGGTAAGTTTTCGGATTCGGTGTGACAAAAACAAGGCAATAAACAAAATCATCTTTACATAAATGTACAAAATAACTTTTAAGCTTACAAACGTGAAATTAGTACGCCCATTCGTCAACAGAGAATGTCATAACTCCGTTTTACAGCATTTAAGTGTGAAATGTCAGCTACTTGCGCCGAGTGGATGGCTATAATGCTATAAAATAAGGAGATAACTCAGGCTTATAAGGAATTTAATGTTTTTGCGCGCTTCAAAAACATATTTAACCTAAAAAACTTGTAAATTAACAGCTGTAAACATGTCGAAAAAGCATTCACGTACATATACGGCGGATAAAATAATCGCAACGGTGACATCTCAGTTAGTAGCGAAGTTAAATGTCACTTTTATGACGTTTTCCGTTTCGAGAATGGAGTTTTTATGGCAGTTATTTGCTATAATATATATGAGATGAAAGTGCGTATAATACCTAGTGATCTTTCAGCTGCTAAATTGTGTAATCTTCGATTTTCTTACTGATAATTTTGCGACACCGGCGATAGGAAAGAATTAGAGACGTACTTACATGGATTTTACATTCTGTATCTTTTTATCATTGAGTCTTAAATCGGCATAAATAATGTAGTTGGTAGTTTCTTGATTGATTTTATTAATAAAAGTAAAGAATCTGCCTGCTCAGATAATTACACTTTAAAACTTATCAAATACCCATCAACTAATCCGTTGGACAGTTCAGATTTCAGTTTACAGTTTTTAAACTTAGAATAAATAAATTCAACCCTTCAAAGCGGCACCTGGGCCCGGGCAATTATTTAAAGTGTTAAGTTTAAACAGAAGAACTCGCTGCATTATGAAAATGGCTTCAGGTACCCCTCCCCTCCCCGGGGGTTGGGGGAGGGGGTTAAGGCACCCCCTATCTAAGTAATTGTTTCATAGACTACTCCTAGTAGACGCGGAATGAGCTTTTTTGTTTCTTTCGAATTCTTTGCGAGGCAGATGTGTCTTTGTCTTATTAAAATCCTAATGTTTTTGACATTATTTATGTGTACGCTTTGATATGGTCCTACAAGTCTTTTTAAAGACATAATAAAGAATATCTTGGTACTTTATCTAAACCTTTTGACCGGAATAGCCTTAGGCTGATTTGCACCATCTTACTTTAACAGTAACTACTTATAACCAAAACTGGTGTCTTTTGTATGGAGTTTGACAGACTTGTGACGTTTGTTATAGTTAACGTTAACAGCTTTTTAATGTTACACTATTTACGAGTGGTCAAGGTTTTTTACAATGATCCAAGCCTGATATATTATTTTTGCCTCACTTTAGACGAAAAGCTTGTAACTGAGGACTATCTATCTAGGTTTTATTAATTTAAGCTAAATTCAATTATCAGAATTTTTTTACGTCCATAATAGTAGGTAGGTATCTAGGTTGATGTTACAGTGTATTACAATACAGATAATTATGTACCCTGTTGGGCTCTGCAAATGTTAAAATACATAAGAAAGGTCTTTTTAGTACACAAAGTTATTATCGTTAGTTGCATAATTAATTAATTTTATCACCTACTCTTTTATAGTGCAATAGAAAGTCAAGACAGATTGCTAATAATATATTCAAGTCTCAGCCACAAGTACCAAGGAGTTGTCAATCCTTATTTATACGAGCAGATAAACCCCGTGGATTAGTAGTTAAATGTCAATAGGGCGCGGCTGTTCCGCGTTCGGTTCCCGGCGACAGTAACGCGCTGGAGTGATGCCACTGTGTAAAAACGCGTGTTCATTGCCTGTTAATGTCGAATTATTTTGGTCTGGCAACTATTGTTTACTGGGTGGTTACTAGCTTCTGGGAAGGCGTGGTTTTAGTTTGATTGCCTGGGCATCCATAGCCGATGACCGACTCGAGATCTGTGTGCTTAGTGCAAAGAAATAAAGAAAAGAAGAAAATAATTTTATTTGGCAACAAAAGACTTACACATACATAATAAAAAAAAACAAATCGAAAAAAGTTGCCAAAAAGTTTGGTAGCGGCCTGCGTCCAGCGCCTTCCTGCTACCTTTTTGAAAAATTACTTGTTAATATCGAATTATTTTCGTCTGGCTACTATTGTTTAGGAATTCTGGGAAGGCCTGGTATAGTTTGATTGCTTGTGAATTTGCCTCAAAGTTTTAATGTTAAACCAAACAAGTAGACTGTTCAAAGGTTAAAGTTTACACGTGCGTGTCTTCAACTGATTAGATTTTGGATTTGGACTCTACTTTGAGAGTTCTGGGTTCAATTCCCTATAGGGACACAATGCAAAATAGCTTTGTGTACTTATTTGGTCCTAGTTCAGTTATAACAGGAATCAACCTGCTTAACCCAAAGTAAAAAACTCCTGTTCGTTAAATATGTATTTTAGCATTGTCTAAATTAGTGATTATTCAGTGTGGCAACAAATAGCTTATAAAGATAGCGTCTGGAAGTCATCAATTAATGTCACAGGATTAGAGTGACAGTCCAATCAGACAGAAGCCTATTTCTCCATAAGTCTGTCACCAGGCTTGTGTCCCCAGTTGTTTCAAGATGCAAGAAAACACTTACCATTAGGTAAGATGTATGAAAACTTACATCATCAGAAAACTCGCAAACTGAGACTCCTTAAAGCGCTGGCGGTCATATTTCAACACTGCACCAACTTGGTTATTTTGTAAAAATCTAGCAGCTATTTACTTAACTATTTTATATTTTTAGTTGTTTTTGGCAACTACGTCGTCGCGGGTTCAATTCTCACATACTTAAAAGTTCGTGTGCAATGAACATTTCTGACTGACTTAAGTAAATGAGAACGTTCTAAATTGTTTGAGATTTTTACGAAGATTTACAGGACAGGCAATGCCTAGTGTGGAGGTCTGTCTTTTTGTTTTTGTACTAATTGATCTGGAAATAACTATTTTCATTTATTTTCATTTTCATTTATTAAAAAAAATCAATACATATATTACATGGTGGAAATGTCAGTTAATTGGACTTCAGGATCACAGGAAAAAAAACTAAAGCCCCGTTACTTTAAGTTGGAAGACTATGTATTGTAAATATTGCATAAATCTTGTGTAGTTGTAATAGGTGTTATTTTCCAACCTAAATGTACAGTCTGATGCGCTGTACAGCGCTGTGCACTGTCTAATAAAGGTATTCAGATTTCAGAGCCGGGGCGGGGCCGCGATCGCGCGATACGACGATTGAGACGTTGTACAACTAGCTTTAGCTTTACATTTGCAAACGCGAGAAACCGTTTTTAAAGGTTTTAGTATTATTTAATAGAAGGTAGAATAATGAATAATATCCTTACTTATGCTTCAGTAACTTAACAAATAAGCACTAACTATTGTTTACGTAAAAGATGGAACGCATCTATCTACTTAAAATTTGACAACCTACTCGTATGAACGTGTGGTTCTCATTAAAGTTATTTTGAATATGAATAGAATGGGCTTTTAAATATACCTAAAGATCTGAAGTAAATTAGTATAATATTATTAGAAACACTTGTATAAATATCAGATGTATTTGAATTTGAAGTCGTGGTTATAGAAATCATTTCATTAGAGGTAAAGCTTTGAAAAATCCTGAACAATAGACCATACAGAAGCTTTCTGATTAAAACAATAAATCAATAAGTACCTTATTCCTCCACTTTTTTTAATAAAATTAATCGGCATATCTCCTGCCAAAAGGTCATCAAGTCTAGCAATTTTATATCACTTTGAAAACTCATACAA